TATATATGAATATATAAAAATATATTAAAAATGCATGTGGGTACTCAAATGAAAGCTCTTGATGATGGTAACATCATAATGAGCTTATATCTTTAAAAATATCATAAGTTGACAAAACACAATATAATTCCTTAATTATTGACATTATTAATGATATAAGCTTATCCTGATGTTACACTCATCGAGACCTTTCATTTGAGTACCCACATCAATTTTTCATATATTTATGTATATTATATATATATATATGTATATATGAAAAATATATCAAAAATGCATGTGGGTACTCAAATGAAAGCTCTTGATAAATGTAACATCAGGATGAACTTATATCTTTAAAAATGTCAATATTTAAGAAAATACAGTGCAATTTAATAAAAATCATTATTTAATAAACGGAAGTCTAGTGACTGCAAGGTTGCTTTTTTTTGTTAATTTATTTTATTTAGCAATTTCTCACAAAAATTAATTAAATTTTTATCAACTGCTAACTTTTTTTATAAAATTATCTTTAAATAAAAAAATAAACTCACCAAGTGCGTTTGGTATCAAAAAACAGTACAAGAAAAATGGGTTCCTTATAATTGACAGCCAACGCCAAGACATCATCCGGCGGTGCAGGAATAGGAACACCTTTATGAACAGTCCCTCTGGGAGTATTAGGATCAATAATTAACGCCGGATACCAAGGATACCCCCGACACTTGGCCCAAACCAGCTGGAGAGCCTCAAGCCGGTCACTCTCGACCCTCTCGTCATCCTTGCTTTTCTTCACAACGCGCTCATCATCATCATCATCATCATCATCATCCTCCCCCAACTCGGGAGTAGTAGACCTGCTAGTGGAGCAACTACTGCAACTAGACGACTGGCTCTCTCCATCATCTCCAATATCACTATCAACTCCTCCAGATCTATAAACCTTAAAAGCATCACCTTGCTTTTTATCTTCCACCAGGACACCTGGAGATCCTTTATTAGCCCTGGCCTTAGCCTTCCTAGTAAATAACACCGCAGTCCTCCTATTAACTCCCAAAACTTCCTTCTCCTGATTATTAGACTCGCTTTCGCTTCTGTTCCTAACACTCCTCTCTCTCTTCCTCTTTCCAGTGTCGCTTTTAACTTTATTCTCCTCCTCAAGAAGGCTCCTCTCCTTTTCCTTCTCCTTCTCCTTCTCCTTCTCCCTCTCCAGCTCCTTAATTCTCTCCCTCTCCAAGGCAGCTTTATCAAACTCCGGGTAATCTTTTCTCACCTGGTCAATCAAACTGCCCCCCTGCTCCCGCATCTTCAACCCCGCGCGGTAAAACATCGTGTCCTTCCTATTGTAAGCGAGACAATTGCTGACCATCAAATTAAAATCACTCTGAAAAGCAGAGATGCTATCATACTCCTGCTTGTCAATTTTTGCCTCCATCGTAGAAAGGTCCATTGGTTCAGTAACAATGTCCAGATAATCAGGAACCTCTTCTGTGTTGACCGGCTGTCCAAAGACGTCATTAGTGTCCTTACTTTTGATCGCTTCCAGCAGTAATTTGAGCGTGCTCTCCAGAGGTTTTAGCTCAAACCACATGCACTTTTCCTTGACCTTGAACCATTCTTTTTTTAGTTTTTCCCGCTTTCTCACCAACTCGCACAGCAGCCTAGAAGGTAATACAGTGGATGTAATTAATATAAAATTAATGTTACGGTAATTTTGGTAATTACTTATTACGGTATATAAAGAGCCAGGAATTTGGTTTTGCTAAAAGAGAGAGAGAAAAGATAGACAGGGGGGTCAAGCTTTCTGGTTGGTTGTGACAATTTTGAAAATTGGATTGTTAATCCAAACTCAAGATGTGTCAAAATAGGTTAACACGCAGATTTTTAAACGTTTTGAATGATATGGAAACACATCTTTAACTCTGGACATAAGAAGAGATTTTAAGACAAAATTCAAGACAAAAAATAAGACAGACTTTAAGACAAAAAAAAAGACTAAAATTCAAATAAGATAAAAAATAAGACAGATTTTAAGACAAAAATTTAATTAAAACCTAAACGAAAGTGAGATCAGCTGCCCAATTTTAAAACACAATAACTGCAAAATTTTTATACCTAATTTTTTTTTAATATTGCTGTATTTTTTATAACTTAATTTCAAGTATTTTTTCTTAAAAATATTTATATTCAAGTAAGGTAAAAGATCCAGTTATTGGCACTGGCCTAGTTGATTGACACTTGCAATTTTATATTTATTAATTTATTAGAGTCAATTTGTTTCATTTAAGTTAAATAAAATTGCAAGAGTCAGTAACTTGTTCAGTGTCAATAACTAGATCTTTTACCTTATTTTCTATTTATAAATCAAATTTTCATCAATTTGGCAAACTTTTTTTTAATAAAAAAAATTTTTAAATTTTAGTTACTGTGTTTTAAAATTAAGCAGCCGAGATTGACCAAGAACTCCGCTGTCCATCTTACAGCAACAAAGAAAGTATAGGGTAAAAGACCCCATTACTGACACTTTCTTTGATTTTAATACTGATATAATTAAAAAAAATCATTCATTTCAATAATGAATATATTATTTCTAATCTTTAGATCAAAAAAATTTTTAATTTTTATTCCAAGTAAAACATTTTTTCATTGAAAGAAAAATAATAACAACAACAAATTTGTTGTGGTACTAACAACTACACTACCAACAAAAACCTAATAATGTATTAGATAATTACCTAGCTCGCTCCAAATCTTGACGTAGACACTGCCAATATTTAAGCTGTCTGTACAATTCTCCTCTCATTTCACTGTCAGCTGGTGAACTGCCTCCGCAAAATGGATTAGGCCTGGAAGAATGAGGGTGAGAACTTTGCAGCCTACGAAGTAGAGGAACTCCATTCCTGTGCTGACGTTTCAGGGTCCAGTAGGCTAACAAGCGTTGTATCAGCTGACTCTTCTTCGGCAAGCCTTCCGCTAGGTTGGCAATCTCCCGGATCCTCTCCGGCGGGATAGTAGGAATAGAAATCACAGGAGCAGAGGAACTTTTTTTATTAGCGATTGCTCGCCTTCTGGCATCTGCGGGATTTGTCGAAGGTTGATAATCCGCGGGGGTGTGAGCTTCGCAGTAAGCTGTTTTTTGTACTAACATTGGCTCGCCATTGGCCGGTTGGACTGTCCGCATTCTCATGCACAGACCAGCTTGCTGAGCACAGGTCACGTGGAAGGCCGCGTAGCAGTTGCTTTTGTGGCACTGAATGCAAGCTCCAACTCCTCTGCGCTTGCAGACGCAGCAGATGAGCTTCCACCTGGCGGCGGGAATGCTCTCTATTGAGTCGATCGGTTCCAGGAACACTGTGTTCGCGAAGCGAACTTCAGGAATCCAGAGGGCGCAGACCACATGCGCCCAGGTGGCGGAGCGGTCGGTTTGCTTGAAAGCTCCGCCGCGGTTTGGGCAGAGGACGCAGTCTACTGCGCGGGAGGGACTTTGGAGGCATCGGCGGCACAGCCACTGGCCTTCGGGGATGTAAGGGACTCCGTAGCAGTCTTGGTGCACTGCCAGGTTACACATGTCGCAGAATAAAATTGCGTTGCTGTTCTGACACTCGCCGTCCATGCAAATGCAACACACTGCGTCTTCATCGGCGGCGATTCCGCCTCCGCCGTTGTTTTGCTGCTGGAAGTAAGACTCTTTTTCCAGGCGGTCCATTAGCAGCTCGAAGACGTCTGGTTCCATTGCTGGGAGTCCGGAGGAGATTCGACGCTCGTTCATTAATGCTAGCCACGCTGAATCTTCTTCGTCGAGGTCGTATTCTACTTCTCCTGGAAATTTTAAGGAATTTTGTTAGTTTTTTTGGAGTTTAATTTATGAAAATTTACCAGGCTGATATTTATTAATTTTAAAAATTTTTAATTGTAACAACTTATGACAAAAAAAATGAGGTAAAAATTTTAAAAAATTAAAAATGTAATTTTTTAATAATAATTTAATAACGTCTAAAGTAAAAGACCCAGTTATTGACATTGGCCTAGTTATTGACACTTTCAATTTTATTTTAATTGAAAAAAAAAAACAAATCAACTCTAATAAATTAATAAATATAATTTTTGAACTATAAATTTTGAGATAATTAATTTTTTTAATTACAATAAAATTGAAGGTGTCAAATAACTAGGCCAGTGTCGATAACTGGGTCTTTTACCTTATCAATCTTTCATCAAGAACCTTAAAAAATGTTTATTTCCCTATCGTTAGTTAATCAATTTAATTAATGTTCAATTATAATACGCAATCAAGTTAATTCTGCTCTCTTATCTAATTTGTTTTTTTTTTTTTTTCCTATATTCGATTCCAAACTTGTATTCTAATTGTATACAGCCGATGGGCGTTTAATTTTAAATAAATAAATAATTTTTTAGAACAAATTTATTTATTAAAAAAAAATTAAAAAAAAAAATAGCCAAGTGATTGGTTAACTTTAATATCATTTTGAATTTACAAGTTTTTGATATTTTGGAGGAGTTAATTTTTGTATAAATAATTTTTTACTCCAAGTAAAATTTAAAACTAATTTTCTTTGATTTTTAAATCATCAAAAGTCTGACAATTTTATTAAAATTATTAAAATTACCAGTCATTTGACTATTTTTTAGTTTTGTTAATAAATAAATTTGTTCCTAAAAATTAATAAAAAAAAAATTTGAATTTTTAATTTTTAAATATCAATTTTTTTGGTAATTTTTTTTCCACAATAGTACTGTCAAAAAAAAAATTTCTAAAAATTTTTAAATATCTAATAAATTAATTTTAATTAAAATTATTTATAAAAAATTAATTATCATAAAATACTTTGTTTTTTTTTTTATTTATAATTTACAGTAATAATTCTTTAAAAATTTCTACATGTTATTTTTTTTTATAATTTAATTATTAAAAAAATTTATTTTTTAAATAAAATTATAAATTTTTATGAAAATGAAGTTAGCTTACATTTCAAAATTTTTATAAATTTTTTTATCCAAAAAATTTCAATTAAACAATTAAAAAAAAAATATCACTTGTTAAAAACTTGAAAAACTATAAGTGCAATTTTTTAAAAATATCTTTTTAGTTGTAATTTAATTAAAAAAAAAAAATCAAAAATTTTTAGACGTCTGCTAACATAACTTCAGTGTCATAAATTTTTACTGTCAAAATTTCTAACTTAAAAAACTTACCATCAAGTTCTTCACCACTTCTTTCCATAAACCTAACATAAGAATTAGGTAAAGGCTCAGCTTCTCCAATCTGTCTTTCATATCCATCTAGCTCCTTGACAACGGCCACTGGCAAGGAACTCAGAACAGCCTTATCCTCCTTGTCCCGCTCATGAAGAATATTATTACCTTTTTTATCATCAATTTTGTCCATGGACAACACTGGGATGCTGTCGTTGATCCCCAGCTTGGTGGGTCTCATCGGTTCATCAGCCAAAGGCGTAATCTAGAACGTCACCATACCAACATTAATCATCACTACTAACAACAATAATAATACTAACAATAATAATTAATAATAATTAAAAACAAAAACTTACCAATACACATCTCGTGGCTTCCCCAGGTGTTAAAATTTCAGCAATAACCTCAGTGTCATTATGACCAACTCTGCTGCGGCTTTTTTTCTTATTAGATTGCGGAGTATTCATTATTTATTTATTTAACTATTTATTAATTACCATAAAACGTGTTGTTATTTTTTATAATTAAACACACATGTGTACATAAACTGACATTAAACCGTAACTGTCACAAACTTTTAACAATAATAAATTATCTTTAATAAAACTTTTTTATCCGTGAGAAAAAACCAATTAAAAATAGTTATTACATTTAAAAGTGCAATTATTTAAATAATTAAACAGCAAGATTTGTTTTTGTAATAATACATTTGTTAATAATAGGTTATGATGCTTTAAAAATATTCTTACATTCGTTGGATTTGAAATTTTGCTAGGAAATGAATAAAAAATTCAGCAGGTGGCGCCTAAGTGCAATTTTCGTATAATAATATTATTTGGCTACATTGGTTTAAACCAAAGCCTTGTATTTATCTTATACTATTTTTAATAAAAAAAAAAAAAAATAATAATAATAATAATATTATAAATTTTAAATCAGCTGTCGTAATTTATATTTTATTTAATTTTTATTTATTATTTCATATATTACAAATTATAAATGTACTTAACAATTGTATAACGCTTTGTATTACTTTTTACTTATGTTTTTTACTTTTTTATACACCGAGGCGTGAACGCGCTGACAGTACCGCCACAGCTCGGTCCGTCATTTAACAAACGGTCATGTCACGGTTATATATATGTATATATACATTAATTGAAAAATAGGGGCGTAATTATTTACATGACAAGCTCAGGAATTTTAATATTAAATATTAAAACATTAAACATTGATGGATTTTGTTAATTGATTAAATTTAAAGTGCAATTGAAATTTATTTGGTAAGAAGATAATCTGGTGAATATATTTAGAGTAATCTGTCAGAGTAATACTCTAATCTTATCAACCGGTTCAGAGAAATTGTTAAGAGAAAAAAAATAAATAACGTTAACTGTCATGCGATACGTTTGTTTTTTAATCCAGTGGGTTCGTTGATTAATCAGTTATTACGGAAACTTGGCCATGGGTGAGTCTAGGTTATCTTAATATTATAAAATAATGTATTTTATTATTATTATTTTGGATAGTTATTAATTGTAATTGTATTTTTTTTTTTTTTTAGATGAAACAAATGATTCGGTTAAGTGGCAGCAACACTTGTCGTTGCTCAGGAATCAGTATGTTCATCTTCATACTGCTAATTCTGAGTTGCAGCAAAAATATGCCATTGCAACTGCTTCAAAACAGGAATCTGGATTTATTGAGAGGTTATTGGCGACGATCACTTCACTTTACGGTCAGAAACAGTACAGGTAATTGGTTGATGGTTTAATTATTTGATGAATCATGATATTGGAGTCTATAGATATCAGAACTTTTAGATTTTTTTATAAAAATTAATTATTACTTGAAAAAAAAAATTTTTTTGGTTGAAATTAAAAAAAAAATATTAGTGCAGATATTTGATAATTAAAAGAATTTTTTTTTATTATTTTTTAAATAATTAAATGGATAATTTTTTAATGTTATAAAGATATCTTATTAATTTTTAATTACCAAATTAATTTATTTATTAAAAAAAAGGAAAAATTATCAAATGTCTCTTGATTTCAGTATCATAATATTTAATGATAATTGTGGGTTTAAAAATATTTTCATTTTTATTTTATTGCATCAAAAAGCCTTGAAGTTTAATAAAAAAATTAATTCCTAATTTCTGAGGTATAACTTAGTGATTTTTGTAAGTTAAATATTTTTATTTTATAAAATTATCAAGAACTTTTTAAAGTTTTATTTAAAAGTCGATAACTTCAAGGTTCTATTAATTTTTTATTCACTTATGAATTGTCTACTTGCTTATATTACAATGTAAATTAACTTGTCTATAATTTTCAGTGATTTGACTATTAAATTAGTCAACAATGAACTGCCAGCGCATAAATTTGTCCTGAGTGCAAGAAGTGATTTTTGGAGCGAAAGTTCTCTAGCAAATATTTCACTACTAGGTCAGTATATTTTTAGACACTAAAATAATTTATTAATTTTATTTAATAAATAAATTATTCTAAAAAATAGTAATTATATTTTTAATAAATTTCTAAATTTCTAATTAAATAAAATATTTATTTTTAATAAATAAAATAAATAAAAATTACAGACTGGAGTTATTTAGACGGAGACGCAGGTTCAATTCTTTTAAAATGGATCTACACCAGCACAGTAGAAAAAGAGAACCTAACACTAGAGCTCATGAAAGCAGCCTCTAATTTCCAATTAAAAGAATTAGTAGAGCAATGTGAAACATATTTAATAGGAACAGTGAGTCTTCGCGATTGCGTGGCTCTTTATACTGCCGCGGAAGAGCTGGGCGCTGAAAAATTGCGCGATTATTGCAGTTCACTAATCTCAACGCACTGGGTAAATAATTTTTAAAAATAATCTATATTACACTCATCAAGAGCTTTCATTTGAGTACATCAATTTTTCATATATTTTATATATTTATATATATATATTATATATATGTATATATGATAAATATATCAAAAATTCATGTGGGTACTCAAATGAAAGCTCTTGATGAGTGTAACATCATAATGAGCTCATATCTTTAAAAATATGATAAATTGACAAAATACAATATAATTTCTTAATTATTGACATTTTTAAAGATATAAGCTCATTATGATGTTACACTGATCAAGACCTTTCATTTGAGTACCCACATCAATTTTTCATATATTTTATATATTTATATTATTATATATATATGTATATATGAAAAATATATCAAAAATGCATGTGGGTACTCAAATGAAAGCTCTTGATGAGTGTAACATCATAATGAGCGTATATCTTTAAAAATGTCAATATTTAAGAAAGTACAGTGCAATTTAACTAAAGTCATTATTTAATAAAGCAAAATTTTATTAATTTATTTTATCTAACAATTTCCGAAAAAAAAAAAGTGATGAATATTTTTTTCTCTTCTAAATTTTCTAAAAAACAATTGATTCTTTCTAATTAACAATTTTCCAAAAAAAAAACTAATAAAATCTTCATTAATTGCTAACTTTTTGTGTAATTTAATAAAGCAATATTTCATTTATTAATAATTCACCAATAAATCAGCTAATTAATAAAAAAAAATTAATTTTTAAAAATTAGGATGACTTGACCGGAGATGACTTTAAAGAAATGCCGGGTCCTCTTTTGTACGAGCTGCTGAAAACAAAGAGCGAGTTTCCTCTTCACTCTGCGGTGAGACTCGAGCGGGAGGATGTTGTCTTCTTGTATTTAGTTGAACACAATGCAGAGGTAATAATTATTTTCTTTTTTTTATTTTTTATTATTAATTAAAATATCCAGTTTATTTACAAGTAACAATTGTAGCACAGCGCAATATTTATTTACAATATTTTATTATTTATTTTTTTATTTGTTTATTTATTTTTTTATTGCGGAAGAAATTTTTTTAATGAAGTATCATTAAAAATAAAACAATAACAGTAAGTATGAAAGTCCCTCGATTACTTTTACTGTTATTACACAAATTATACCTACAAAAACAATATTCAGGAGGTCCACCAGGCGAACCACGATCTTCGCCTATAAAACAATCCTCCGGATACGCGGTCTGAACTATCTCCTCCTGCTGCCTCCACTGCCTATCATTATAGTCATAAGCTTGAAAAATATCAAGCTGAGAAGCGCAATCTCGCTCTATACTCGTGTTTATTATCGCTGAAAAAATCCAATGAGTCATTAGTCATTATTAAAATTTATTGTCTAGAATATTAAAATTTTGAATTTAAAGCAATATATTTTTATAAATCACTGGAAAGTCTTGTGTGAAGCGATAAATTTTATACTGAAGCTTAAAGTGAGTCATAAAACACTATCAAGAATAAAAACTCACATCCGTTGACTAGTCTGTGATAAATGGTACGTTTCATACACATGGTGGACTTTGGGCAGTAAACTTGAAAGTGTCTATTTTCTTTGAATTGACTGCATATTTGACTAGACGCCTCCGGCGAGCCTCTCAGGGGGGCTACGGTGCACTTGTAACAAGAAATACCCTCTTCTGACCCCTCTGATGGTGCAGAACTTACTAATGAAGGAATAAAAATATAATGAGAAAAATATTTATATAGTTATTTAATTAGCAAGTTAGAAATTTATGATATTTAAATTTAATAGACATCTGATAATTTTATTTTTTATAAATTAAATATGCAAAAATTATGTGAAATTTTTTTAAATAATTTTTTTTAATTATCTATATTATTAAGAGAATAAGAAAAATTTAGTGTCCAGGATAGGACATTGTAGTCATTGCAAAGGTCGTGATTTGAATTTGTGCTTTTCTCTATCTCTAGTTGCATAATTAAGAAATGACCTTGTATCTTAAGAACTATTGACATTTTTAAAGATATAAGCTCATCCCGATGTTACGCTCATCGAGACCTTTCATTTGAGTACCCACATCAATTTTTCATATATTTCATATATTTATATATATGAAATATATGTATATATGAAAAATATATCAAAAATGCATGTGGGTACTCAAATGAAAGGTTTTGATGATTGTAATATCAAGACGAGCTTATATCTTTAAAAATGTCAATAATTAAGAAATGACCTTCTATCTTGTGAAATATTGACATTTTTAAAGATATAAGCTCATCATGATGTTACACTCATCGAGACCTTTCATTTGAATACCCACATGCATTTTTGATATATTTTTCATATATACATATATGTATAATATATATAAATATATGAAAAATTGATGTTAGTACTCAAATGAAAGCTCTTGATGAGTATAACATCGGGATGAGCTTATATCTTAAAAAACGTCAATAGTTAAGAAAGTACAGTGCAATTTAACAAAATTTATTTAATAAAGCAAAATTTTATTAATATATATTTAAAAAGTCACAGCAGTCACGTAGTGACTGCAAGGTTGCTAGTTTTTTTTAATCATTTTTTTAAATTTAGTTAAAAAAAATATTTTTTTAAATAAAAATTGATTATAAAAAATCTAATAATTTTTAGATGTCTACTAAAAAAATATTAATTAAAAATAAATCTTACAAGCAATTATTACAATAATCCATAACTGCCTTCGCTCGTTAAATTTCATCTTACGCTCCAAAAAATTTCAACAATATCTTCAGTGTAAATTAAACTCATAATCTTACTTCCATCTATTGAAGAAATAAATAATTTACTCGTGGTTAATTATATTACTGATGAATGATGATAATAAATTCAGATAAAAAAATGAAGAAATACATACACCTGTTATCAGTCAATTGACACATCGATTCTCACCACGCGGACCTTGACAACTGTCTCTAAAGAATATTAAAAAGTATGATTTATAAATTAGAAGGTAAATAAAGAAAACTGGGAATAATAATCACATGATAATAATATTCAATGTCAAAATTTAAATACCAATAGATGGATATAAATAAACAGGTTACTCGTACGCGTGATTGATGATTAATCAGAATAGAGAACAGCGGATTGGAGTCACTCGTATCGACAGCGCACACTGTGAAGCTTATACATTACTGAGAGAAGTTATTATACTGGTGGAGATTTGTACCCCGTCCCCGTGCCACGTCATATCCCCACCAGCTGACTGTTCACAGTCATCGGGCCGAGAATGTGTGTTCCCACCCAACGCGGCACCCGCTGGTGGATAGTATATAGTGGATGGTGGATGAGCAAGCGCTCCCAAAGCTGTTTATTTTACAAACCAGAACAGAGAACTGATGTATTGTAGGAAATCATCCCATTAGTGGCTACTTTCCCTGGCCTTGGTTAACTTTTTTTATTTTATTAATCACTAAGCTGGTTTTTTTAATTTGATTTTATTTTTTTTTTATAATTGTTAATGAGTCGGCCTTTTTAAAAATATTTTTTACTTGTAATTAGGGCCAAAATATTAGCCGCTATTTTAAATATTTATTTTTAATATTAATTTTTGCTGTAATTTTAAAATTAAAAATTTTATTTTATTTTATATTTATTAATGTTATTTTTTAAATTACACCGAAATTTTTGGTCCCAACGAAAAAATATAAGAGATTTTTTTTTTTTTAATTAAATTTAAAATTTTCGTTTGAAAAAAATTTTTATAGGATCAATATTTTAGCCGTAATTTTTAAAAAATTTGAATAAATTATTTATGAAATGTTATTTTGAATTTACGGAAAAAATCTTGGCGCTGCCTTGAGAGTTACTTATAATATTACAATATATTAGTGATAGGTTGATGACTTGGATAAGAACTTCCGCACGCAGATGACCACGGATGCACGCACGTTGTTTTAATAAAAAGTGTAACTTGTATTATATGAGGGTCTTTCTATCCGGTAAAGGGTCTGCATATAAAGCACTCGCTATTTTTATTTATTGAGTTCATTATCCTGAATTTTTTTTTCTATCTAGTCTAGAATTAATTTAATTAATTATTAGTTTAACAGGAAGGGTAAAAAAGAACAAGTATAATTTTATTTTAAAATAATTTAATAATATAAAAATAGCTTTTAATAAATTTATTATAATATGTATATTAATTTTTATAAATTTTTTCAGCAACTAAATTGTAGAATCTTTAAAAAGCTCTAAAAAATTATAAAAAACAAATTTTTTTTAATTTTCTTTACCTAGTTTATTAAAAAAAAAAAATAATAATAATAATAATAATAATAAAGTTAGCTGACATTTTTGATTTTTAAATTATGCTTAATTTATTAAATTAGAACTAAAAAAATAATTTTTTAAAAATTACACTTACAATTTTTCAAATTTTTTACAAATAAAATTAAAAAAAAAATTTTTTCAGTAAAAAAATTAAAAAAAGTTGTTTTTAATCATTTTTATCTATAAAAAAACTTACAAAAATTTTTTTTAATAATTTGTATCAATAAAAACTTAAAAAAATTTTTTTAATAATTTTTATAAATAAAAAAATTTTTTTAAATTGTTTCTATTAATTTTTTTCACTAAAAAAATTTTTAAACGTCAGCTAACTTAGTTTTAATTTAATTTATTGTAATAAAAAACTAAAACTCAATTATTATTATCACCAAAAACTAACCAACCAAATTTTTCCAGCTTTCAACAGTAGTAAACGCAGTGGACCACAAAGGCCGCCGAGCCTTGGAAGTAGCTCTAAAATCCCGCCAACCATCTCTCGCCCGCACCCTCGTGGAGCACCAAGCGGACCTGAACTTGAAAGACTCCGACGGCTTGACCCTTCTCCAATCCTCAATCTTCAAAGGCGACTCCTACTCCGCGGAGTTTCTAATCGAGCAGCTCGAAAACAGCGGATCATGCCAGCGGCTTTGCGACCCTCTCAAACTCTCCGCATCCTGCTCTGACTCCCTAAAACCCTACGAAGGAGGCACAGTTCTGCACCTAGTCTCCCGGCACAAGGCCCCTGACATGCTCTTAATCTCCACGAAACTCCTCCAAGCCGGAATCAACTCGAACCTCCAAGACTCCCGTGGCTGGACTCCCTTACACTGGAGCATCCATTCCAACCACGAACCACTCTTCTCGCTGCTCCTAGACTCCAAGACCATAGACCTCGATTTAACCACCTCAGAAGGCCACTCTCCTCTATCCTTCGCCCTAAGATCCGAACCTTGCCTAAAAACCTTCGCGGAAAAACTCTTATCCCGCGGCGCGAAGCCTAATTTAACTTATAATCCCTCTAAAAACACTCTTTTGCACCTTCTGGCCCAAGAAGGAAAAGAAGAAGCGGCTCTTTTTCTCCTAAAGCACTCTAAAGATGAAAATCTTACTAAAAAAACCAACATTGATGGTCTTACAGTTCTCCACGAAGCTTGCAAAGCAGGATTAGCTGACCTAGCCAAGCTTCTTCTTGAAAAAGACGAATCTTTTTCCACAATTGCAATTACAAATGCCAACCAAGTCCCGTTGCACTTAGCAGTCATCAACCTTCATTACCCAGTCGTCCAAACTCTGTTACAATTTTCCAAAAACCCAAAAGACCAATTAGAGTGCAAGGACCAAGAAGGAGAGACTCCGCTTAGCTTAGCAATAAAAGCTCCTTTAAAACGAGGCAGAGAAATAGTCGAAGCTTTGATTTCCGCTGGAGCGAATATCAACGAAAAGAATGACAAAGGCTTAACATTGCTCCACCAAGCTATCTTAAAGGAAGATTCAGCTACTGCAATTTTCTTGCTGGAAAACGGCGCGGATATGAATGCTAAGACTCTAGAAGGAGAGACTCCGCTTCAATTGAGTGTACATTGTCGCCTTGGAGAAGTTGTTGAAGCTCTGTGCCGTAGAGGAGTCAATACTTCAGTAGGATGTCCCTTGTGGGATGCTTTGGACAGTGATCAAGAAGACACTGCTTCTATATTAGTGACTCATGGAGCTGATACTGATTGCTGGAGCCCGGGGCCTGATAATTGTCTTCAAACTCTGTTGCATAGAGCAATTGATGATAACAAGGAAGAAATTGCGCAGTTTTTGATCAGAAGTGGGTGTGATTTAAATGCGACCAGGAAATTGGGGCCCAACGGGGAGGGCGGGGATGAAGCTAGGGATAATTGTACCCCGCTGCATCTGTGTTGTCAATGGGGACTGGAGCAGGTAGTCCAGACTTTGGTGGAGCATGGAGCTAATGTCAATGCTAGGGATGCTGAAGGAAAGACTCCGATTCACATCGCAATTCAGAACCAACATGCTGAGATAATTGCACTGTTGCTTTGTCATCCGAATTTGGATCTTTCTTTGAGGGACAAAAAGGGACTGAGTCCGTTTGCAACTGCGCTGACTGTGAGGAATAATAAAGCCGCTCAGGCGATCTTGGAAAAGTTACCGAGCGCTGCGGAGCAGTTTGATAATAAAGGGAGGAATTTCTTGCACATGGCTATTCAAAAAGGGGACATGGAGAGTATTTTGTTTTTATTGTCGATACAGGTGGATGTTAATTCGAGGGTCCAGGATGTAACTCAGACTCCGCCGTTGCACCTAGCCGTGGGCTCGGGGAATGAAATGTTGGTGAGGAGTTTGATTTTAGCCGGGGCGAGGATCAATGATACGGATGCTCATAGGAATACGGCTTTGCATGCTGCTGCCAAGGCGGGACATGCCGCGGTTGTGGCGGCGTTGTTGCAGAATGGGATTAATTTTGATGCGGTTAATACTGATGGGGACAATGCGCTGCATGTCGCGGTGCGCGAGGGACATGTAAGTGTTGTTAGGACTCTGTTAACGGAGTGCACGCTTGATGCCGAGACGGTTAATCTTAAGGGGAGGAATCCGCTGCATGAACTTGCGAGGTGTGGCAGAGATAATGCCGCGACTATTTGCGAACTTTTTTTGGAGTGCATGGCGCAGTATCCTATTAATAATGCAGGTAAAATAAGTTTAGTTAAATAATGAATTTTGTTAAATTGCACTTTCTTTAATATTGACATTTTTTAAGGTATAAGCTCATCGTAGTGTTACACTCATCAAGAGCTTTCATTTGAGTACCCACATGCATTTTTTGATATATTTTCATATGTACATATATATGATATATATAAATATATGAAATATATGAAAAATTGATGTGGGTACTCAAATGAAAGGTATTGATGAGTGTAACGTCAAGATGAGCTTATATCTTTGAAAATGTCAATAATTAAGAAATGACCTTGTATTTTGAGAACTATTGACATTTTTAAAGATATAAGCTCATCTTGATGTTACACTCATCGAGACCTTTCATTTGAGTACCTACATGTATTTTTTATATATTTTTCATATATACATATATATAATATATATAAAATATATGAAAAATTGATGTGGGTACTCAAATGAAAGGTCTTGATGAGTGTAACATCGGGATGAGCTTATATCTTTAAAAATGTCAATATTTCTCAAGATACAAGGTCATTTCTTAATTATGTATCTAGAGATTATTTTCGAATGCATAAACTAAAAACAAACTATTAATCAAATTAAAGAAAAAGTTTTAAAAATATTATTAATAATTAATGATTTATGAATGTCTAGATGCTGATGGTAATACTCCACTACTGATAGCTTACATGAAAGGGAACGGAAATCTCTGCAGAACTCTTGTCAAAGCTGGCGCGTGTCTCGGTTCAATGAACAAAGACGGTGTCACGATATTTAATTATCAAGTGGCTACTAAACAATTACTATATCGATTACTCGATTCATTGACTCAAGAAGCTCCTTGGGCGGATAAAGATATCTGTTTAGAGTGCGGGACTAAGTTTTCTTTGACTATGAGGAAACATCATTGGTAAATTTTTTTTTTTTTATTTATAATAATAATTATTATTATTATTAATTATTAATAATATTAATTAATTATTTTATAGCCGTCATTGTGGGAGGATATTATGCAGTAAATGTTCTGGTCAAGATGTGCCAATATTAAAGTTTGGACTAAACAAACCCGTCCGAGTCTGTGGAGTCTGCTTTGACGTTTTACAAATAGGTGCAGAATAAAAATAATTTAAGTTACATTAATAAAAGAAAAAATATATAATAAAAATAAAGTAAGTTAGAAATTTTTTGTATAGTTAAGATTAAAGACTGGCAAATTTATCCTGCTAACGTATTAAAACAAATTTTAAAATTCCATCTTTATAAATAATTTTAAATGTTTTAAATACAAATGTTAAATCAATATGTTTAATTGTATTATTTTTTTTTTTATTTCTAACATGAGTTTTTTTATATATACAACAAGAGATAAATATAATGCTAGTGTAATATTCTCAGCGTTCTTTAAGTATTTATTTTAGCTTACTGAAGAGATCGTGAGAAACGCAGTGATCGACACAGCTGACATAATCGATCAGTTCTTCGAGGCAAGTCTCCTCGGTCTTCGTACGAGAGTTTACTCGATCGTTACATGTTGAAAGTCGTTCTTGGAATTTAACGCACTTTGGCTGCTCTTGGCATTTTTCCTGAGGAAAAATACAATTTAATTAATATTAAAAGTAATTAATATTTAACTAGCAACTTTGCAGTCACTATGTGACTGCCGTGACTTGTGAACAATAAACAAATAAAATTTTGCTTTATTAAATAATTACTTTTGTTAAATTAGACTGTAATTTTTTAAATATTTACATTTTTGAAGATATAAGCTCATCCTGATGTTACACTCATCAAGACCTTTCATTTGAGTACCCACATCAATTTTTCATATATTTATATAAATCGTATATATGTATATATGAAAAATATACCAAAAATGCATGTAGGTACTCAAATGACAGCTCTTGATGAGTGTAACATC